TGATGTGATGGGCATCTGCTATAGACCACCAGACCAGGAGGATGAAGTAAACGAGGCTTTCTTCGGACAACTAACAGAAGTTTCCAGATCACAGGCCTTGGTTCTCATGGGGGACTTGAATCACCCTGACATCTGCTGGCAGAGCAACACAACAGTGCACAGACAATGTAGGAAGTTTTTGGAGAGTGTTGGGGACAACTTCCTGGTGCAAGTGCTGGACGAACCAACTAGGGGCTGTGCTCCTCTTGACCTGCTGTTCACAAACAGGGAAGAATTGGTAGGGGGAGTAGAAGTGGGTGGCAACCTGGGCAGCAGTGACCATGAGATGGTCGAGTTCAGATCCTGAGAAAAGGAAGAAAGGAGATCAGCAGAATATGGACCCTGGACTTCAGAAAGGGAACTGATGGGCAGGACTGGGGATTACAGTGGACCAGAAGGTGGATATGAGTCAACAGTGTGCCCTTGTTGCCAAGAACGCTAACGGCATATTGGGCTGCATTAGTAGGAGCATCACCAGCAGATTGAGGGAAGTAATTATTCCCCTCTATTCAGCACTGGTGAGGCCACATCTGGAGTACTGCGTCCAGTTTTGGGCCGCCCACTACAGAAAGGATGTGGACAAATTGGAGAGAGTCCAGTGGAGGGCAACAAAAATGATTAGGGGCTGGGGCACATGACTTATGAGGAAAGGGAGAGGGAACTGGGCTTATTTAATCTGCAGAAGAGAAGAGTGAGGGGGGATTTGATAGCAGCCTTCAACTACCTGAAGGGAGGTTCCAAAGAGGATGGAGCTTGGCTGTTCTGAGTGGTGGCAGATGACAGAACAAGGAGCAATGGTCTCAAGTTGCAGTGTGGGAGGTCTAGGTTGGATATTAGGAAAAACTATTTCACTAGGAGGGTGGTGAAGCACTGGAATGGGTTATCTAGGGAGGTGGTGGAATCTCCATCCTTAGAGGTTTTTAAGGCCCGGCTTGACAAACCCCTGGCTGGGAAGATTTAGTTGGGGTTGGTCCTGCTTTGAGCAGGGAGTTGGACTAGATGACCTCCTTAGGTCTCTTCCAACCCTAATTTTCTATGATTCTAAGTAAGTAGTTTTCACATTTACAGCTTTTAGTAGTAATGACGATGTCTGAGCAATTGGTTAAAAAATGAAGTCTAAAACGGACCGCATTTGTTCTCTAATTTTTTTTCATTCCTTTTGTACAATTGTTTTCATAACAGCCTGGAGCAGAACCCATATTTTAAAAAAAAGTGCACAGAAATATATGATGGACCAAAGTACGTGTCCTTCTTCAGCATAATATTAAAAGACATAGTGCTGAAACTGAAGGAAAGTCAAGTATCAAGTACTTTTCACTTGAAATATTGTTTGACACTAGACTATGACTCTGTAGTCTGATTCATACACATTCCTCTAATGCTGACTGCTCATGGCAACTAACAATCAAGTCTGGGTCATCAGGGCTCAGTTTGGGCTAGATCCACAAAGGGACTTAAGTGTTGCAGTGCTCAGTGTTGTGACAACTAACTTTTAGGTGCCCTGTTTTCCGGTGGAATCCTAAGCCCCAAGTTAGGCTAACCCTAAGCTCAGGCAGAGGCGATGCGTAGGTGGGGCAGGCGGGTCATGTGCCCCCCCAGATTTCTGCCTTCCATTTAGTAACAGCTTCTATTCAGAGGTTTTCAAACTGTGAGACACGGAGGAATGTTTGGCGGGGAGGTGAGAGACAACTCCAGGTGCCTCGGGCCTCAACGTCGAGCCCTGCTCGTCAGCTTATCCCAAGTCTGGCAATCTCCGAGAGCTGGGCTCTCTCCTTGTTCTTAGTGGCAAATGCTGTCACTTGCTATGCGGAGCCCCCCACCAGCTGCTCCAGCCTCTGCCTGCCTTGCCTCGCAGGGAGAGGGGAAGCACCTGCTGGCAGGGGCCGGCAGCACATGCGCGGAAAGGTCACCCAGAGGCACGTGGTGGGCTTTTGCAATGTCAGCGCTCTCCTAAATTCGGTCATAATTTCTCTGTTTGATGCAGCATGCAGTTGGCACTGGGGCGGGGTTTGGGATGTGGCATGTGAGCCGCTGTGGGGCCAGCGGGGAGCGGAGACATCAGGGGGAGAAGAGGTGGGGGAGAGAGTGCGGGGCCTCTCTGGGTGCTAGAGAGTAAGGGGGAGGCTAGGGCAAATGGGTGGGAATGCACCTGCCCCACCCATAGAGTCAACACATGGGGCGGTCACGTGCCCTCCCCCCACCCCCACTATCACCAGTTACTTGTCACCTCTGTGCTCTGGCTCCCTATGCAATGGATGGGGAGAGTTAGGCACCTAAGAATGAGATTCACAGAAGCCAGCAAACTAAGGGGGGAGCTGCCTAAGCTTGTGAGGAGTGAAATGCAGAAGAGGGGGATTGGGGTCTGCTTAAAGCTATTTAGGCACTTAACTCTGGGCTGGGGAGGGAAGCACCTCTCTTTGCTTGGGACTAACAGCAGTGAACCCTCTCCTGGACTTAGGGGCCTAAGTCAGGTCATCCCTTTATCATAAAAAAAAATAGACCCACACTCCTTATTATAGCCAATGGCTCAGGGTATTCACTTGAGGTATGGCAGACTTGTTTTCAAATCTTTGCTCTGCCTGATTGGGTGCAGAGACTTGAAGTTGGGTCTTCCATATCCCAGGTGAATACCTTGACCATCAGGTGACTGAGACCCCCCCACCCCATAATACCCAATTTCTCCCGTTGACACTGTTTCACTTTGTGTAAATACATATTCATTGGACCAGGGATTTGAACCTGACTCTTACATGTCCTGGGGGGTGCCCTAACCAGTGGTCTGTAGAGTCTATCTCACTCTGACCCAATGAGTATTTAATTTATTTATGCAAAGTTTCAGCAGGAGAGATTGAGAGAGCTCCGCCCCAGTATACACAATAGCCTACCGATTAGGGCACTTTCCCTGGAGGTGGGAGTCCTCCTGGGTTCAAGACCGGGTTCCAAACCAGGTAGTGTGGGGATTCAAACCTGGCTCTTGGACATCCCGGTTGGGTGCCTTAATCTTTGGGCTATTGGGTAATCAGGATGCACCTGCTAGCCACAAAAATTCTGGGCCTGCTCACCCTTGGCTGTCTTTTGTGCGGGTTAGGAGTGCTCAGAGAATATCTACTGGATCGGGCCCCACAGGCAAGATAGGCAGGGGAATGCCTAGTTTGGGAATCCAGCAGGGGCTTAGGCATGAGCTAGGATGTCGAGTGGCTGGGTGGTGTCAGGACTTTAGTTGGTTTTGTGCATGCCCACTGGTGGAAGTTTAGGTGCCTAGGGAATTTAGGCACCTTCAGAATTAGACAGCAGCTGAGCAGGGGTTGAGGATCTTAGACCCCTAACATGGCAGTAAAGCACCTAAATCCCTTTTTGGATATACCCTCTTGTGTCTATCTGGGCACCTGAAAGAACTTAGTGGTAACCAGTTTTGTAGAATGTGGAAGTGCCATTGGTTAAATTTAGCTAAAGGCTTTTTTTAGATCTAAGTTTAGTAGAGAAGGCCCTCTTGAGAATTCATCACCATTGAAAGAAGAAGTAAAAGTGGTTTATGTTGTGTGTGGAAACAAAGGTATTGTCTTGCAGATACCAAGGTGAGGAGTGCTTTAAAAGTACCTTATTTAGAGCCAATGAGTATAGACAGAAAGAGATTGCTAATCCTTGGGCTCTCTGTTGAGTGTGTCAATAGGGGTGCTAATTAGCATGGATTGAAGGAGTGGTTTGGGGGGACATGGATATTTATCTGCTGGGAACAGAAATAGTTTTTCTACTGTTACTTGAAGTTTCTCTTTGCTGATCTGCCAGTCTTCTACCTTCAACAGGAATGATGGGGGTGGATCAAGTAATGGTCAGAAACCCTGCGAATTCCACAGCAAAACTCTGCCTAAAGTGTGGCGCAGTAGGTGCACTTCTGAATGCTGGGCTTGATTGTTGTGAGGAAAGATATAAATGCGCACATATCCATTCAAATTAATGTGATATGATTTATTTAACTCACCTGCTGTATCCTAATCTTTACAATAAATAATGGGACATCACAACACAGGTATTCTTTGCTGCTAATTCATCCAGAACAATTGCCTGACAGATACGGAAACTTCTGGAGGAGACACAGGGCTATGTTTTCAAAACAGTGTATAGAAGGATTATTTATTTGTTCCTGGGAATTGTGCATAAACCTCCAATCCAACTCTGAAAAACACCCCCTGGTGTCCTGGAGGGTCTTTCTAAGCGTTTTGAGTCTGAAGCAATCATTTAAACTTTCATCTCCCCCATCCGCGAAAGCTCCCACTTGCTTGCAATTGTACAAATGCCAGTTAATGAGACTACCTCCCTTTCCTCAAATATATAGACAACTAATAAGAATAATATTATTGTTAGAGGAGAGCTAGAACCACAAAGTTTAGGTCCTAATCGGAACTTCCACAAAGTTTTCCAGGTGTTTGGATATGGAGTTTTTGTCCTGCCTGTTTCAGAGAAAAAGACCAGCTGGGACAATTTTGTTCTGCATTTAAACTCTCCCAAAGTTTGGGGTATTCAGCAGTGCTCTCTGTTCTTTCTGAAGGCAGTGGGAGTTGAGTTCTCTGAGGACTTTGGAGAATTGCAATGTTTATTGTTTAAGTAGTTGCAGTGTGCTTGGAGCTATACAAAATTCAGAAGATTTCATCCCAGCCCAATGGAGTTTACAGTGAAAGGGTTAGACTATAAGAGGTGCTTAGAACCTCAGCTCCCACTGACGTCAGTAAGAGGCGTATCCCATTAACATTAGGCCCTAAATGAGAAAAATAAACATAACTCTGCTTTGCCTGTGGTAGAGCCTGTACCAAGTTTTGTGGAAGCGAGTTTCATTGCACTGCTAGATACACGGGGCTTTTTTAAGACTTCGATTTTGATTTTTCCCTTGCATGTCTGGTTCTCAGAATGTGTGTCTGGGATGATTTTATGCTTATCATTTTCCCCCCTGTGCTTTTTCTTTTCAGCACCCAAAGACAATGAAGAACGTGTATTCAGAGAGCGGATGCGTCCCAGAAAGCGGCAGGGTGCTGTGCGACGCAGAGTTCATCAAGTCAATGGACACAAGTTTATGGCCACCTACCTTAGGCAACCAACATATTGTTCGCACTGCCGAGACTTTATATGGTATAACCAATCTTTGGCTTTTTTGTTGTTGTTGTTGCAAATGTCATGCTGTTTTGGATTGAACTGTTGAGGTTCCATTTTGTCTTGCAGCAGTCCAAAAGGAGTAGAGCGTGTCACAGGTCAGGGGAACTCCACCTGTATGACCCCTCCATGGTCCAGAAAGGGCACCCACTCTAAGCTCCCAGGTCCTTAGCTGTCACCTCTCTCTCGGATGGAGACCTTCGTCTCTCTTCCTCCTGACCAAGGTTTTTCCAGGCTGCACAGTTCCCTGCCTATACTGTGTTGTTCTGAGCAAGACAGACTGCTTAACTAGGCCAGCATTTGCAATTCAATACTCTGTGAAAAATATAAACGGTGCAATTGCCCACAGTTCTAAGTTACCACACAGCTCTGTCTAAGCAAACATATCTATTCTTAAGGTGAAAGCATTACAGAGAAAATGTATTAAAAACAATAAAAATCTACACACACGCTAAAAAACTTACCAGAGGTCACCCCAACTCCAGCCTCAGGCTTGGCAGGTGTCAGTCCTTCCAACCCTTCCCTTGGACTGAAGGTTCTCTCCATTTGCTGGATCAGAAAGAAGGCCCTGAGTCAGTTTAAACTGAGACTGTTTATCCCAAAGTCCTTTCTTCGTCTGTTGGTCTCTGGAGAATCCAGTTTGTACTAGTATGTGTGAGCCTGTCCAGGTGGTGGTACCTCCCTGGAAGTGTTATAAGCTGAGTGAATTTGCCTAATAGCTCCCTCCCCTTCCCCCCTACCCCTGCACTGTTCTTAGGTCCTGGAGGGCTGTGGTCAACCTCCCCCATGGGCTCGCAATGACACATAAACTTAACACAGTGAGATCGCCCAAAGATATTGCAGGAAATTGCCATATCTGTCACAGAGCGGTACAGCAGTTTAATTCTTTTCCTCTTTAATGTTCATTCATCATCAGTTTTTGCATACAATAACGGAAACCTGTCAAAACCTTCCATTATGATTGATAAAATCTGGGATTTTCTCTAAATTACAGAGCTCAGTCCTGTCTGGCCTAATATCTAAAATGGATCTGATTCCTGTAATTCACTACCGTACCGGCTAGCCTAAAAACTCATATTTCACAACTGTAAGTGTCACTGCAGAGCTAGACTTCACAAGAGCAAAGAGAGCATAGAGCTGTGGTATGACTTGTTTAAAAAGTTAAACAAATACATTTTCCAGTTAATAATCACCATTTAATGCAGTGTGAGCTAGATTCTGATCTTAGTTACATGGGCAGAAATCCAGAGTAACTTCAGTAAAGTCAGTGGAATCATTGTGAAACTGAATTTGGCCTTGTGCCTTCCTAACCCCTCCCTCTTTTGGTGGCCATTCTGAATGCCTTCTGTATGAGGAGGAAGTACTCATGGCCAGTTTTTTTCCTGAAGCTTTCAAAAGCTTGAGTTTTGATGAAGAAAACCCCTAGAAAATACAGATATTTTGGATGTGAGCCCAGGGTGTTTCAGGAATTAAAATGTCAGCTGGCATGCAGAAACCATCCAGAATGAGGATTCTAGAAAAGGGGATTGTCACTTCCTCCAAGAGGAAAATCCTACCTCCATTTAAGTCATTGGGAGCTTTGCCATTGATTTCAGTGGAACCAGAATTTCACCCAAGATATCCTATCAGACCATCAAATATCTTTACTCTGCTTCTTCATTTCTGAGCTACTTCCTTCCAGCAGTGAATATAACAAACAATCTTTGAGAGAAAAACCTAGTCACTTTCACAAACTTTATCTGAGCATATTGTTAGTATCCTTTAGTAGATCAGCAAGGATTTTTCCAGCTCCATTGGACTGAAGAAGGCCAAAATTTTCAAACCTGGGTCCAATTTTGTTTTAAAATGAGTGCCCAAAGTTAGGCTCCTAAATACATATTTAGACACCTAGATCAAAGAGGTTTGATTTTCAAAGATGCAGCGCAATGCAGCTCTCAGTGACTTCAATGAAAATCCGGCCACTTCTATGTAGGTGCCTGAAAGTAGACCTATGAGCCTAATATTAAGAATATAAATTTTGGCTAGGATGCCTGAAGTTAAGCTCCTAAATTCATATTTAGGCAAAAGTGGCCCTATTTTTAGAAGCACTGAGCACCCACGTATCCCAGTGAAGTTCATGCCGGTGCACAGCACATTTGACAATCAGGCCATTTTTATTTAGGTTACTTTAGGTTCCCACATTTGTAAATGTTCTTTTCAGCCTAAAATGCATGTCTGAATTAACAAAGATCATAACATAACACTAAGTTATTTTATGAATTACAGGTATGCACAGATGTGTGTTACTTTACAAAGAAAAGGCATGGGGACAGATTTGGCTTTCAGCTACTCCAGTGTAAATCCAGAGTGACTCCAGTAGAGCTATGCCAGATTTACTTTAGGGTAGCAAGAAGCATTAGGGGGGAGGGATAGCTCAGTGGGTTCAGCATTGGCCTGCTAAACCCAGGGTTGTGAGTTCAATCCTTGAGGGGGACCACTTAGGGGTCTGGGACAAAATCAGTACTTGGTGCTGCTAGTGAAGGCAGGGTGCTGGACTTGATGACCCTTTGGAGTCCCTTCCAGTTCTATGAGATAGGTATATCTCCATTAAAAAAAAAAAGAATCTGGTTCAAAATTCCTATTCTAAAGAGTTTATAAGTAGAGGCCAGATCCTGACGCCTTTCACATGTGCATAATCACAGTGAAGTCACATACTTTCAAGTCATTTGGACTCATGTAAGAAAGGACAGCAGGACTGGGCACTAGGCTAGAGAAGATTTGACATGGTTTGGGGAGAAATTGCAAAAGGTGCACAAAGGGCCTTCCACAGCTTGACATCCTGAGGTTTTCTTGTTTTCACACTGTGCACATCATGGGTTTAGGTTTAAATAAATCTAGTTATGCCAAAAATAGTTGCAGAATAAATGCAGCATTATAAAAGACGGACAACATATACATTTTGTATACACTGTCAATTTTGGGCATGGAAAGAGAAATTCTAATCAAGCAACAGTTCAGAAACAAAAGAGAAATATCAGCAAAAGCAAGTTTCAGTTTATTAGGACTCCATCTGTTTAGTAGACTGAGAACTGTCCATGAGTAAGTAGGAATGCACCAAGTACATGATCCAGATGGTGCATTCACCCCCTCCCCCCAGTCATGTGATGTACCTTTCTCCCATATTAAGAGGATGATGTGAAAACTAGTCCAATGATGAAGCATACAGGCTGTGGGTTACAGGAAAATGTTCTAGTGAATCATGAACCTGGCCAATAGAAGAAGAAAACAGCATAGTGTGACTTTTTTATCTATGTATTTTACACTTTCTAAAATACTTTATGTATGTTCTTATCTACAGGGGTGTAATAGGAAAACAGGGATACCAATGTCAAGGTAAGAGAAAATCTACAGAGAGAAACTAGAATAGATACTAATATATTATTGCTGTTATGTATAAATAAGCAGAGTTATGCACTACTCATCAGACGTAGTGTGTATATATAAGAGCAGGGTTGGAGCACAAGACTGTGAATCAGAATACGTAGGTTTTATAACAGAATCAGTTACTGACTTGTGACTGAGAACAAGTCTCTTAGACATATTTTCAAAAGTGTCCATTAACTAGGGGTGGTTCAGTTGAAGTGACTAGGAGCAGTGTATACTTAGCATCTCTGAAAATCAGACCTCTCACGCTGGCCATCGAAAATTAGTGGGTGTTGCAGCCCTGGTAAAGCTCCCCCTGTTGGACACTGAGCAGACTGGAGTGTTTGGGTCCTTCCCACTGGGCCTATGTGCTTTTAAGCTGCCGTGATTCTGGGTAGGCTTCAACCACCATCTCTTTCTTTGGCATCCTTGGCACACGTCCTTGGTATTGACTAAGTTGAACCTCATGGCCCAGCTGTCACCTCCTGTGAGTTTTAGCTCAGTGTGGAGGCAAAAGACATCAGAAAAGACAAACAATCCCCATGTTCAAAATGGAGATTGCAGTCTGACACAGATACACAGAGAAAGTCCCCAATAGCAAGCAGAATTCAAAAGCTATACATGGACAGATTTCCCATATTGTCACAGTGGACACTTCTGGAAATGTTGGCCTCTCTGTTTCTCACTTTTTTGCTCTTGAAAAAGTGGAAGCTTTATCCCATGTTGTTAAGCATTTGTGAACCTTGGATGAGAGGTGCTAATGGCAAAATACTGTAATTAATTAGATTAGATAATTATAGATGTCACCGGTAGCAAATGTTATAGTTAAGACTGAGTAAGTGTTTCCATTTTTACCTCTAATTTCCTATGCTCATAACTTTTCAAAACAGTCACGTTGGGGGATGAAATTTTTCCTGGTTTGGTCTCTGCCAAAGATTATATTTTTGGAAAGTTTGAGCAAGATGCATTGTTATTTTTCAGTTATGAGAGAGTTGAAAAGATTAGTTTTTCTCATCGTAACAAAAACTTTAAGACACTTTTTTACATAAGAAAATAAGAATTGCTATAATGGAATACACAGGGGTGAAAGTAAAAATAGGGACTGGGTTGGGACCGGCTCTGGCCCCCGGAAGGGGCGGGGCCTTGGGCGGAAGGGGCGGGGATGGGAGGAGTCAGAGCCAGCCGCCGCTACCACCCCGGGCCCTTTAAACCGCTGCTGGAGCCCCCAGCTGCCACTGCTACCCCAGGGCTCTGGCAGCAGGGCTCCGGGGGCTATTTAAAGGGCCCAGGGCAGTAGAGGCAGCGGAAGCCCTGGCCCTTTAAATAACCCCCGGAGCCCCGCTGCCGCTATCCCAGGACTCCAGCAGCAGGGCTCTGGCGGCAATTTAAAGGGCCTGGGGCTCCAGCTGCTGCTGGGAGCCCCAGGCCCTTTAAATTGCCGCCCGGGAAGCCGGGCCGCCCTGGTACGGCACACTGGCTCTTACTGCTACGCTGTACCGGGGCGTACCGGCTTACTTTCACCTCTGGGAATACACCAGTAGTCCATCTAGTTCAGTGTCTTGTTATCAAAAGTAGCCAGTCTTTCTTTCATGGAGGACAATTTTTCATCATCTTGAGAACAATGGATTGATAACGTTGTAATTGTTATCCCATCTGCTGTGTCTGCAGATATTTGTCTACTGTGTCTGTTTATTTTTTTCAAATGTGACTGACACTGGATATTGACAAAGCACTTTTGCCTGCTGAAACAATGGGAAATCTTCATTTATTATTAGTAGTAATAATAATAATAAATAAATAACTTCACTTCTTCCTTTTTCTGATTTTACAGTGAATCCCATGTGCCTTTGTGTTTCTTTTAGCCTGAAAGCTCTTTAAGCAGGGTCTGTTTCTATCTTCATGTCTTACATAGTGCTGATCCCATTGACTGTGCTAAACAAATAACGAGTGTTTTATATAAGCTGCTATCTAGTGACAGAACTAAGCTATGACTGAGAGTTTTAAAGATGGTTTATAATTTTGGGTGCCTTGGATTTTGGTTGCCCATCCTGAGAGTCCCTTAAAGGGGCCTGATCTTCAGAAAGTGCAAAGAATACACCTTCTGAAAGTCAGGACCCTTTAAGGTGTTTTAAATTGTACACCCAAAATCACAAGTCACTTTGGCCCAGATCCTCAAAGGTATTTAGGGTCCCTAAGTAACACTGATGGAAGCCTAAATACCTTTTTCGATCCGGAAGTAACAAGACCGGTGATGTAATATCTTTTTTATTGGACCAAGTGCTGTTGGTGAAAGAGACAAGCTTTCAACCTACACCAAGATCATCTTCAAGTCAACCCAGATCTGCAAAAGAACTCTATATAGTTCGAAAACTTGTCTCTTTCACCAATAGACATAGGCGCGGGAACTATGGGTGCGGGGAGTGCTGCAGCACCCACCGGCTCCCCACTGCCACCCCCGCACGCCCGGGGTCCTGGCTGTCTCCCCAGGCTGCTGGCCCCATACGCCCGGGGTCCCGGTTGCCACCCCACACCCAGGGCTTTGTTCCCGGCCTCAGCTGGGGGTGGTGGACGGGGGTAAGGGGGCTGGCTTTCAGTGCACCCACTACTAAAAATGTTCCAGCGGCAGTGCCAACAGAATTGGGTCCAATAAAATATATTATCTCACTCACCTTGTGTCTCTCAAATACTGGGACCAACATGACTACGACAATGCTCCCAACAACAATTTGAGGATCTGGGCCTTTTTAGCCTATGTCTTTCATATCCCAGGGGAAGAGATCCAGTGTCTTAGCCTTTTGACTTCAAGCTTGTACTTTTAAAACTGTCTTCATGAAAACTCATTCTTTCATCCCCTTTTTGTTTACAGTTTGCACTTGTGTAGTCCACAAGAGATGCCATGAGCTTATAATAACTAAGTGTGCTGGTTTAAAGAAACAGGAAACTCATGACGAGGTAAATATTTATAAAATAAATGCTCTAGATAAAAAAGAAATCTTTTTATCTATTCATGTCACTGCCGCCTCCTCCATTTCATCAACAAAAAGGTATGGAGTTTGTTTGCACCCTTCCGGTTTCCACATAGTATAACATTTACTCTTGAATGACAAATCACCATAACAGCTCCATTTGCTTGGGAATAATTGTAAAGCAGTCTGTTCCTGGCTAGCCAGTGTTAGACAAAATCAAAATTCTCTGACATCTCAAAGCTCTTTTTCGTTTCCATCCTGCTTCCATTGAAGTTAATGGAAGTTTTGCCATTGAATGCAGTGGGAGCAGGTTCAGACCCCTTCCCTCCCAATTGCATTTAAAGTGGGTGATTCATTAGCTATCAGTAGTATAAAGTCTCTGCTTGTGTATCATATGTTAACATAAAAGAGTGCCCAGAGGTGACATAAATTATTTACAGGGGGCTTGCTCTAACTGCATGCCGGGCTTCCAAATGTGGAAGAAAAGCAAAACATGTAATATTCTCCATTGAATAATGCCCATAGTTATAAAATAACACAGGAGAGGTTATACCAGTTACTGTGTAGTTAACAGCTTTTCTAACAGTTACTTCACAGCTATGGAGAAATTTGTTGTGCATAGTATAAAAGGGATTATCTATCTATCTATCTAGTATATGTTACCAGATATTTAAGCAAATGATGTCTGCTGATAATGAAATAAACTGTCTTCCTAAGCTTGGAAATTATTATATTATTATTTATATCTACCAACAGTACTCACCACTGCTCTAAATATAAAAGAACACAGGACTCCCACCTCAAAGGATGTACATTTTTAAAGAAGACAAAAAGCTCACTCCAAACATGGACCCAGATCCTGAGCTGTGGCTAACAAATGCACAGTATGGTTTTGTCTGCACTGACCAAAGGTGCATGTTTACAGTGAGATAACTAACACGTGATAGTTATCTTGCTGTACAATCCTAAATGGAGCCAATGGCCTTGTAGTGTGAATGTGAGGTAATTAGATGAGATCCCCTAGTTTACCTTGTAGTAAAACTGCAGTGCCTTGTCTCCATTCTGTTTTTACAGAAGGACAGCTAATGTGCATGGATTATTCCGTGGTAAGACAAACCATTTTTGTCAGTGAAGACATAGCCTGCAATTTGGGGAAATAGAGAGGGTGCGTAGAGGTGGTTTTAAACCACTTTTGTGCTTCTGCAATTATGGGCCAGGCCAGCCAGATTTGCTTCCACCCCTCCACATAACTTGGAGTAGCATAAAAGATGCTGTAAAGTATACTGTCTGCCAATGGCTGAGTTTGCAGGCCTGGCACTTATGGGTGGGGGAAACACTTCCCCCACCTTCTATTTATTTATTTATTTTTACTTGTACGCTAACCGAATTTTACTTGTATGCTAAGTGGATGTCACTGACACACCAGCTGCTGGCATTCTCCAGGGCCATTTTTGCAGTGTGTTTCAGATTAGAACAACACTTTAACCTCTGCAGTGAATATTCTGTCCCCTGATCTGGGGAGCAGACGTGCTTTCACTCCGGTACATGATCTCTTTCATGGGTTATGACGTAGCCCTGCCACACCAGTGTTTTGGCTAACAATGATTTTGAGCAGTGTCCACAAGGAGATCTGAATTCCTGAGCAGATTTAATTGGGTGTAACCTTTCGTGGGTATAAAACCCACTTCTTTTACCCACGAAAGCTTATGCCCAAATAAATCTGTTAGTTTTTAAGGTGCCACCGGCCTCCTCGTTGTTTTTGTGGATACAGACTAACACGGCTACCCCTCTGATACTTGAGCAGATTTATGTTCCCAGGCTCCAGACTAGTGGAAGCTTAGATGCACTGCTGATATGATGCTCTCATTGTTTAGAGGGGTGCTAGCCCACTGGAGAGAAGCCAGCAGTAATAGGAAAGAGGGAGAAAAAGCATTGGAATAAATCTTTTGCTATGCAGTGGGCACCCTTAACTTTTCATTGATGATCTTCAGTCAGTAGCTAATGGTACTGTGGATTCCCTGTACACAGTACCTTGTTTTCTCTTCTTACCAATCCAAAGACCTGTGGAATATAAAAAAGCAAGTGGATTGTGACGTCTTTCATTTTCTCCTGTACTAGCACCTCCCATGCCTGCTCTCAAAACAATTGGGAGCGACTTCCTTGCCTTTCACACTGAGAGATCTCTGCTGATAGCGGTGCAGTTGTTATTTCCAGGAATGCTTGGAAGCAGACTGCAGTCTTTGCACCATCAATTATCTGTGATCTTTTGAACACCAAGAACAAAAACAAAACAAAACAAAAAGAAAGAAAAAAGAGGTGGAACACTCTGTGTGGAAATAAACCCATTTAAAAGGATGATTACACCAACATGTACCTATTTCATCTTGTTTCACCTCTGTACTTTTCAAAACATATCAGGGCCCTAATTTACATTGACTATAAAAGTGAATAATTAGAAACAAAGGGGATTTCAATATGCTGTGCTTCGCTTTTTTCAGCAAGTGGGCTCCCAGCGCTTCAGTGTCAACATGCCTCACAAGTTCAGCATTCATAATTACAAAGTGCCCACCTTCTGTGACCACTGTGGTTCATTGCTCTGGGGTCTTTTGAGACAAGGTTTACAATGCAAAGGTAAGGAGAACCACCTCTACTTTAGAGACTTTCTATGTTTCTCAGCCAGTGCATTGGTTTGGGAAGTGCTTGCCTGTCATAACAAGAAAATACGTTACTATTGCCAGGTCATTCTGTTTTCTAGCAGGTACAGTTAATAGTAAAAAGCAAGGGGCAGCATATGAATAATAGTAAAAAGCAAGGGGCAGCATAAGATAATGGGAATTGCCATCATGGATCAGAATCTAGTCCATTGTCTTGCCTCTGACAACATCTGGCACCAGATGCTTCAGAGGAAGGTGCAAGAAACCCTGTAGTGGGTAGTTATGGAATATCCTTCTCACGGGGAATGTTTCTTCCTAATCCGATTAGTTAGAGGTTGACATATGCCCAGAAGCATGAAGGTTTGTATCCCTTCAATTTTTCTTGGGTATTTTTATTCCTGTAGGATGGAAATTATACACTATTTTTTGCTTTCATATCTTCATGAAGGCTGAGCTTTACCTGTGTAAAGTCCATTCAGGACCAAACTTGAATCCCAAGCCAAGAAAAAAGAAAGAAAAAAGGTTTTGTATATCTGGCTGCACCATGTTATGTGGAGGCTAGCCTGCTCCCTCCCATGGTAATTCTGAAAGAATGGGATTGATTGTGTCCTTATTCAGTATTTGGAACACAGACGTTGGACTGTGCATCAATTTCCCATCCCAAGTCCAAGCTAGATCATGCACCTGAAATGAACTGGCTGCTCTTCCTTAATCTCCTTGACACAGGCTGTTTTGTGATTTAGCAGGGAAGAGGTGGCCTCAAATCTCCTTGTGGCTGCTAGATTGGATAACGTAGGGCTTCTTTTCTGCTGAAGGAGGATGTACATTTCCATTTGGTAATGAGGCAGCCTTAAGGACTAGATTCCCCTGAGACAGATAAATAGTTGTTCTGAAAGGGGAAGTAAAGTCTGTTCAAATACTTCCAGGGTAATAGCGTTTTGGGATCAATGGAGAATCAAACCATCTGTTGTGGGTTTTTAATGGACTATGGCTTGAAGCTCATGCCAAACTCATAAAAATTCATAACTAATGAAATTTAAAACTGTTTTCACATTACAGAGACTGTATCTTCCATAAATTGACAGACTCAGCTTAGTAAATTTAAAAACAGGATTAAGTTTACTGCCTGATTTTCCAAAGAGCAGGAGCTAAAGGTGACATATAGAAGGCATTGCAGTCTACGAATAAAAATATCTTCTGCAGTTACACTGGGTAAAAATGAAATTATTAGGGAGCTGCCAGTCCTCATGCTTCAGGGCATGAGGTGATCACCAGCTGGAGAAATTGCTCCCATGGCAGAGTGTTTCACGCTAAGAAGCATTGTGAGGCTTAAGCCTCCCCCTGGAGCATTGAATGATGGGTAGTGGCAGGACTAAGACTATTATTTTCCTATTATTGCCATCCCTATGTTTCTATGTCACCTTAATTCTGTTGGCGGGAAATTCAGACCACCCTTTTCAGTTCATCTGGGTCTTGTTGGTATTTGCCATTTCTCCATCAGAACTGTAGTCAATCTACCATCTCCTTTCCATTCTATAACAATTAAGTTTCAGTTCCTTATATTCTGGGTTCTTCTCCTCCTCCTCTACTACCACCACCACATCATCATCATCATCGTGCTCATGTATAAATAAGGGTTCAGCATATAGCATCTTCATTCCTCTCTTCATGCTTTCCTTATAAAACTGTTTCCTGTAAAAATGCACCATGACCTGCATGAAATCTAAAATCCACAAACAACTGGAAATGGTTGCTTCTCAGCAGGAGAGTAGCACTTCCTGTTTTTCTTTTAACTAGTGCCCATCAATGCTCACCTTTCCAGAAACTTGCCTGCTTAAGCACGCTCTGCTGGCTTCCTCCATGAAAAGCTTATTCCTGAGAAAAGTTCTTTTTTTATCTTGTTTTACACTGCTTATTACCCTTCCTCCCTCTGTTTAAATAACCTTACATATTGAGAATGCACAGAATTTTCTGCTTTGTTTCATTTCAGCTAGTTCCGCTCTTAAAGGCACACTGTTAAGGCTCATAGGCCAAATGTTTGACCTACCAGCTGTGTTTTGGATCACAGACACACAAGCCCATAGGGATTTCTTCCTATACCTTTCTGCTCCATTCTTGTGAGTAGGGGGTGTATTGGAACGTCAAAGCTACCTTCTTTCTGAAGTGCTCAGGATTGCTGCTAAATACACAGAGCGCATAGAGCACCTGTTTCTACAGGATTGCTGTGCAGTGTAACTGGTACTGGACTAGATGTTGGTTAAAATCGTAATAGGAAAATAGGGTGGTAAACTGGGCTTAATTCATGCCTTGTATAATTCTGTTGATACAGGGAGGAATTTGACCAATTGAATTTTAAAGTGAGAGAATCTTGTCCATCTAGCGCCTGACACCACTTGTAATTTTGCCTGCTCTGTATTGTGTTCCACCAGAGGGCGCTGAAGGCTAAATTATTCAGACATGTCAGTGGGCTTCCAACAAATCCAATCCACTTTATTTTTAATTAAGTCTGCATTCTTTACTATTTTTTTTTCTTTCTGAGTAACCAGGAAACTACATGACTTCCCTGGTCATGCTAACATGCTAGTTACAGAGACAGTAGTGGGGAAAGGGGGAGGGGGAGAGGGAATCGGTGCATCTTGTGTAGAGGATAATTATCCAAAGGGGGAGATAATTTTATTATGTGATTGGCCTCATATAAAAATTAAAACTAGGTACATGAATACATGGCTTGTTAGTGTGATGCTGGATTATAACAGTCTTGAGTAAAGCAGATGAAGAGACACTACTGTAAGCAGTTTATTAGAAAGAGCTAGATTAAGGCCTAATTCCGCTCTCCTTGAAATCAATGGGAGCGGGATTAGGCTGAGTTCAAAGCTCTAAATGTTTTTCTAGTTGGAACATGTCTGAGATTTGCAGGGTTATTCGTTTTCTCTGTTGTTGTAAAGGCTGCCTTGTCACTGTCCTGGGGCCTGATGCAGCTCCCATTGACTTCAGTAGGAGCAGGAGAAGTGCCCTGAGGAGTAGCACTGTTCACTGACCCATGATGAACTCAGCATATTCGATAAGGTTTTTATCAATGTCTTAATAATAATAGTAATAATAATTAATTGTCATCATTTGTATTACTGTAATGACTAGGAGCCCTAGTCCTGAATCAGGACCCCATTGTGCTAGGCACTGAAACATACAGGATAACATATTCAAAAGCACCTCTTAGGCTGAGATGGTGGTAAAAACCCTGTTGGATATGCTGAAGTGATAGTAGGCAGTGAGTAAAATTCAGTATAGAACTAGGAGAGATAAATGGGCCAAACAGCTCTGTCACACCAGTGTAAATCCAGAGTAACTTTACTGAAGGTAAAAGGAGTTATTCTGGATTATCATGTGTGTAACTGAAAGTAGAGGTTAGCCCAGTCACTTTAACGTGTTGCTCAGCCTACGCAGGCCACTACCAGAGTAACTGAATTGTGTGTGTCCAAATGCGTGGAGCTTGAGGTTGCATGTCTAAAACTATTATTTTCAATTTTCTGTTAAATTTAATATTTTATTGTTCTATTCTAAAGAATAATGAAGTGGACTCATAATTTTATGTTAGTGTGTTAAGTGCCATTGCAAATTCAGCTAAATTCTTTTCTACCGAAATAGAATTTTATTTTAAAAGAAATGTTAGATCCTGAAAGATCTGACTGAAATCAAATAAAATGGATATTTTAAAATAAATGTCTATTTAAGTTACTGAAAACCTTTTTTTCCCCACCACACATTTCATTGCAGTTTGCAAGATGAATGTACATAGACGCTGTGAAACAAACGTAGCACCAAACTGCGGAGTGGATGCTAGAGGAATAGCTAAAGTACTTGCAGATCTTGGAGTCACTCCAGATAAGATCACTAATAGTGGGCAACGAAGGAAAAAGGTAACCAAAAATCTCACATAAAAGGAGCAATAAATTAATGAATGTACATCAGTATTAACAGCTGGCGCTGAATCCTACTCACCTAACTCACTCAAGAAATCCAATGGAGTCAATGTGCCTATTCATGTGAGTAAGGCTAAAAGGACTTGGCTCTGGAGTTTTAGCATACATCCTCCCTGGTAAAATTCTTTGGGGAATCTGTTTTGATATGGTAGAGTCTTGCAAACCTGAAGACAACTTAAACAGTCAAGATGGGTTTTATTTTGATTGGCACGAGGAATTGGACTTTTCAGAAGCCAAGGTGACTACTTTGATCTCTCGCTGAAATACATGAGTAATATATAAATATGCTTATCTGGTTGAAAACTGTCATGAGATCATTTGATTGCCAGAGGCTAGACTCTACCCTATGATACTGTTGTAATGATGATAAATGCACTGAAACAGCAACATTCTCTTATAAAAAGAAATTGGCTGCAAGCAGGTATTTCCAAAGCTAATCTGCTTTTTTAATCTGCTTTTCCTTGGAATAAAAATCACGGGCCACCTAAAATGTATCCTGAATTCAACTGAGTTAATTTGGATTTACAATGTGGCCCTGATCACCATGTGGTCTCATATCTATCTGCATTTGCATGGTGATGGCAGCGGTCTCTCACCTCTTGAAATGAGTGACCTTTACAATCAGTTCTCCTGACATATGTTAGTCCCTTGGCTTTAGACATAATTTTGTTTTCACGGTCAACTACATATTTGTCCTGAAATATTAAGAAAACTGTTTAAAGCAAAACAAACAAAAAGTTATGGGAAAATTGGAAAGCAATTAATTGAATAACAAATCTTAGGAAAATAAAGAAAAGTTGCTGTACTGTAATTGCACAAAATTAGTGTGCAGTGCTTGCTAATATTTGATAGCACTGCCACTGATAAAAGTGTACAGCAGCTCTGTTTACAAAATTGGTTCTGAAAGAGTCTTAGGGCTAGTCTACACTACCCGCCCAGATCGGCGGGTAGAAATCGATCTCTCGGGGATCGATTTATCGCGTCTCATCTAGATGGATAAATCGATCCCCGAATCGACGCGCGTACTCCCACCTCGTCAGGAGGAGTAAGCGCCGTCGACGGGGGAGCTGCGGCGGTCAATTTGCCACCATCCTCACAGCGGGGTAAGTCGAAAAGGATACGTCGAATTAGCGTAGCTGAATTTGCGTATCTTAAATCAATCCCCCCCAGTGTAGACCTAGCCTTAGAGTGGGATTTTCAGAAGTGCCTAACACTTTCAGTGGGACTTCTTAGGCTCTTTTGAAAATTCCATCCTTAATTGTCATTTTGTTGAAGGAACTTATTGAAGCATGAATTAAAATCATTATATAACCACACTTGTATTATTATGGGAGCATGTAGAGAGCCCAACCAAAATCAGGGCCCTGTTGTGCTCAGTGTGCAAATAGGTAGTAAGAGACAGAGAACTTAGTCTATTTAGACTAAGTGTCAGAGGGGAAAGAGGGAAAATAACTTCCCCAAAGTTGTGCAGCAGTCAGTGGCAGAGACACTAGGTCTAAGTCCACACCCCTATTCCCCGGACCACATGTCATTTTTAACATTAAAGTTATATTAGGTGGAATCTATTAAAATATTTGGCTAAAGGTTAGTAAAACATAGTACGCTGCTATACTTCCTCAGTGTTTTGTCTAACTGGGTTTCCTCTAAATATTAAATTCCATTTTGCCATATTGTCTTTTGAATTCATTATGGGTGCAAAGGTGTAATGTAAAGAAGAACTGGGCTCGCTGTGGAATGTTTTACAGGTAGAAAATATTCTCAGGTTTTCCAAAAACTCAGTTAGGGAAGATTTGTTTCTAGTATGTCAATTTTCGCTTTGAAATGTATATGCAATTAAATCCCATTAATGCTGCAATTAAAATGTAATTGGAGTTAGGAGCTAAGGCACTTTTGAAAATTCCACTATGCACCTATGTGCATCTTTAGGTTCCTAAGTACCTTTACAAATCTGGCCCTAAGTTACTACATGCAGTATTTCAGTAAATGCTGTGATTTGTTTACACTTTGACATTCTAACATTGCTCCCCTTTAGAATACCATGTCAGTTTCCTAAATGCTGGCATTCAATTAGCAGTACCTCTTTACCTAAGAAGGTAGTTATTCACACCATATACATTTAAGGAAGTTTCCATTGACTGTGATGGCACTCAGCAGCTTGCGGGATTGAGTCTTTTGTGAATTCTGCTAGCAACAGTGAATGTGTGTGTGATATACCCGGTGATGGTCCCGCTGATTTGACCCAGTTCGTTTGTTTTAGTACTTACAGTAATACTAATACTACTGTTTTGAAAAGAAAACCTTCTGCTCCCCGGGTTGGTTTTTTTTTTTTCAATAATAAAGTAGCTTTTCAGAGAAAACACCTAATCTTGACAGTAGTCACTTGTAAATGAGACAGTCCAGCAACAAACATACCAGTGAGAGGACAGGGGATTTAAAGATGTACTTATGTGCTTTTGTAAGAAATAAATTGTAAAGCTGGTTGAGATCCCATATCATGAACAGAAACAGAGGCTTAAAACCTCTGTATATTAGTATGTTTTAATTGTGAATTGAAAGACATTTTAAGGCCCAAACCCAGCATTAAGAGTTAGGGCATCACTAAAATCTTTGAGGATATCACTAAGATTTCGGCACAGATCTGTGGACTGTTATTGCTATTACAGGGAAAAGGCAACACCGAGAACTCTGGTCTTGGGGTAACTAAAATACTGAGCAGCATGAACTCCTACTGACATCAATGACACCTGCCACTGAGGACACTTAGCACCCTGCGGGATTGGACTCTAATGGAAGAACTAATATTTGTTGACTAATTTGTTTGCAAATATATTTGCTTGCAGTTGTTAAGTTCACATGTTACTGAATTGAAATCTTACATAGACTTCTTTCTGTGCGTTTGATGAGCATTTCAGTTCATCTTTAAAGTGAAAGCCTGTACTGTAGGCATTGGAATCTAACTTTTGACACAGGCAGTGAGATGATAATTTAGCGAGGATGAAGTGTACTCAGTTCCCTTTATTCCTTCCCTTTGTGAAGTTACTTTGTTTTTGAAGTTGCTTCTTTTGCACTCTTTGTGTTAGAGGATCTCACAACTGAATATCCTTTTGTGGGAATGTTCTTAGCTAATTGCAGGTGCAGAATCTCAGCAGCCAGTTCCTGGAACCACACCTTCAGAAGAAGACAGGTCAAAGTCAGCACCAACCTCTCCGTGTGATCAGGGTTAGATACCTGTTTTGTTTCCATACCAATAAATATTGCTTTAGTGTCAGTCTCTATGAGGAGTAATAGTGCTGTTACAATGGACACCGGCCTGGATAGACAATCTGCTTCAAATTAAACAAGGAGTGTGAGCCACAAAAAGTCACCTTCAGGGATCTGGAAATCTGATGGGAAATTTGTGAATTGTAGTTTTTAAAAAAAAAAAAAACCTTTGAAAGGGCCTGATTCTCCTCTCCTTTACACCAGTATATTCCATTGACTTCAAAGTGAAACTGTGAACCCACAAGAGAGAGTTCACATGAACCCTGAATCTTCAGAGGAGTTAGTGTTCATTCCTTATTCATGCTGGTGTGTCTGGAAGCAGAATGGGGCCTGTAGCGCTTGGAAGTGAAAGTGTCAGTATGATCTATTTATTTAGATTGAATGCCCTGCATCACATTATTTGTGTGGTACCAAAATGTAGCTTATGAATTTCATTATCTAAGCCCTTAGATAACTAAATAACTTTACCTAAGAGATTCAGCAGTATATTTCTTATGAAAAGAGGGATGGAATCGCCTGCAATAGCATGGACTGGGTTTGTAGAGAAGTCAATCTGTTGTTCCCACCTTTTCACAGAAATCAAAGAGCTTGAAAACAACATTAGGAAAGCTTTGTCATTTGACAATCGAGGAGAAGAACACAGAGCGACAGCAACAACGTCAACAGACAATCAGCTTAATAAACCTGGGGAGAATGGTGAAAACGGGGAAGTCAAACAAGTCCAGACCAAGCGAATGGGCCTTGAAGAGTTCAACTTCATTAAAGTATTAGGGAAAGGCAGTTTTGGCAAGGTTGGTGGCTTTCTCTGATTTGATGGATTATTTTTGACTCTGCTGTACACAGTACTAATGTTAATGTTGCCTAACGTGATCCCACCACAGGGGTTTCTTTCTTATCTTACTCATTGGGATAGTCAGCTTTCAAAATAGTCATTTTCATGAATATGTATCCTGCTGATTAGCTAGAATTACTTTACTGTTTAAATCATTATAAAAAATGAGGGCTAAGAGCTTTGAACTAGATTTCTAGATTTCAAGATTTCACCATTGAAATTGTATTAACTAAATGTAGAATAAATACTACTTGACAGGGAAAATAACTACAGTGGGTGTATTCCGATAGGAAACAGAAGTGTAGAAATGACATTAGGGGATTCTGTGTTTGTTCTCTCTTCAGATAATTTCCACTTCAAATTTGCTCACTTTGCAAGTCAAATGATGGGTGGTTGTATTTGTCCAACTTCCAGCCTTGAAAATTCCACATGCCATGTGAAAATTAAGTTGTGTTTGGTCTCCATCCCTCCTCTAGCTCAGTTGCAGCAGCCTGATGGTTTTATTGATGATGAAAGAGACCAACATATAATCCAGTTCATTCTGCGATAGTTGCATTTCCTCAATGCTAGCAATAGGAAAATCACGGTTTTCTCAACAAAGAAAGCAAAAATGATTTGAAGGCTGGAGCTGTGCTAAGATTTTATAACAACCCCCCTCCCCCAAAGCCAGGCAGACCTCACCTGATTTTGGTTTCATTATTGATGTGAAACCCAGATAAGATTCACTCAGTGTTTTAAACCTTTCAGTGAGCCTGGACTATGTTTTGAACAAACATGAGCCCATTAATGGTTTGATGAAAACCTTGCAAAACTCTGTGGTTTTGGCTGAGTTTGACTTTGAGTTGACCAAATGAGTTTGGCATGAGTGAAGCTTGTATAAATTCCATCACATGCCTACACAGGTGTTGATCTACTGGCTGCTTTCACTGGTGGTAGTGCTTGAAAAATGAGCATGCAGGTTTTTCTGCATGCAGATTTGCGTGCACACTAATTAAGCTGTTAATATTTTAGCATACTTTTGGGAGGGAGAAAAGGGGAAATAATTAATGGAATTATGTGGGCTGGGGCACATGATTTGTGAGGAGAGGCTGAGGGAACTGGAGTTATTTAGTCTGCAGAAGAGAAGAGTGAGGGATTTGATAGCAGCCTTCAACTACCTGAACGGGGATTCCAAAAAGGATGGAGCTAGGCTGTTCTCAGTGGTGGCAGATGACAGAACAAGGAGCAATGGTCTCAAGTTGCAGTGCAGGAGGTCTAGGTTGGATATTAGGAAAAACTATTTCACTAGGGAGGTGGTGGAATCTCCATCCTTATTGGTTTTTAAGGCCCGGTTTGACAAAGCCCTGGCTGGGATGATTTAGTTGGGGTTGGTCCTGCTTTGAGCAGGGGGTTGGACTAGATGACCGCCTGAGGTCTCTTCCAACCCTAATCTTCTATGATTCTATGAATAAAAATAACGAGTAATAATTTACTGACTGGTCTGATCTTCCTCACTGTGAATATCTTGCATATATTTATCTGGAGTTCAGAAGTAGCACTAAGAAGATAATAATGAGGGCATGTGAGAACAAGGAATAATTATTTCCAAATTGACAAATCTTTTCCCTTAGGCAGCAGAACCGGTGCAGTTCCACTCTGAGGCAGTAAGTGGAAGAAGCAGGAGTCTGTGGAAGGACTGAAAACACCATGCATGCTTCATTGCTTTAATTCTCAGGGGGCTCACTCTGGGTATCCTCAGAGGATATGTCTACGAGTCTCAGTGCCCAGGTCAGCTGACTCAGGCTCATGGGGCTCGGGCTGCAGGGCTATAGAATTGCCATGTAGACATTTGGGCTCAGGCTAGAGCTCAGACTCTGTGAGGGGGAAGGGTATCAGAGCCTGGGCTCCAATCCAAGCCCGAACATCTATATTGCAATTTTATAGCCCCGCAATCTGAGCCTCACGATGAGCCCAAGTCAGCTGACTCAGGTCAGCTGCCACGGGTTTTTTTCACAGTGTAGACTACTATTGAAAGCGAGTGAGGGTGGGAGGGAATGTGTGGAGCTGGAGCTATGCAGTTCTACAGTAATTTTCTTTTCAGTGTGCTATGCTCTGTGGTGATTAAGAGGTAGGGATGAAACATGGGAATCTGCTGCTACACAGATCCACTCTTGATTCCTCCATAATAAAGAGGTCTCTGCATATACAGGGGTTCCTGCAGTACCAGTTCTGGAGCAGTTCTTTGTCTCCTTATTCCTCACTACCCCAATCAGTCTCTGCGGAGTACCTCTGTACCACGCCCAGACAAGCCAAACTCAGGTTTGAATGGGACAGGACTTTTCCCGCAAATAGGTGTTGATTTTGGGTGCTCTTTTCAGGCTGTCACAGTGATGTGCATTGTTCTATAGAATGACAAAATTGTTGCAGCACTTTCCAAAAAGGGAACTAAACCCACATTGTGCTCTAGCTTTGTCCCCTTCCCTATTTTCCAGATCTTAGCAGTAGGGCATAGAAGGCAAACTGTAAGGTACTGGATAACAAGGAGTTAACTGCCTGCAATCTTAACTAAACTGAATGAAGCATACATGGTGTGGCTGATATTCAAAGTTCTACTAAAAGTGTCCATTTTAAAATGTGAATTTCTTCAGCTACTTAGCTATGTAAAATAGACAACTTGAGAGTGCCGTGTGAGTGCAGTTATCCTTTCAATTGTTCTGTACTTTTCAAATCTATACACATTTTTTCTATTGTGTTTACATTTGTCATGTATAATATATTTGTGTGATTATATGTGCTGTATATAAGCAAAGATTTCTACTGATTCTAGGTCATGCTAGCTGAGCTAAAAGGTAAAGATGAAGTATATGCGGTGAAAGTCTTAAAGAAAGATGTCATCCTTCAAGATGATGATGTAGACTGTACAATGACAGAAAAGAGAATTCTGGCATTAGCACGGAAACATCCCTATCTAACACAACTTTACTGCTGCTTCCAGACCAAGGTATGCTAAATAAGCCTGTTGGTTAACTTTCATCAAGAGAGCTGTACAACAGTATTAAGTATTTGCAGTTCAAAATGAAGCTGCATAAAAGGTACCAATGCACAGTGTTTTGAAATATTTCTTAGAGGGTTTCATTGACGCCTCAGAAGCATGAAATTTGAATGGGCTCTCCTTTTAACTTGCATGTTGTCAAGAAATCAAAGGTAAATGGTATATCCAGCTCACTGTTTGCCCAAACAGAATCTTCATGGCAAATGTAGTGCCATTATTAAACAGCATAAATACTGTGTTGCCTTGTACATGCCAGAAGATGGCAGTAGAGAAACAACAATAGGTTACTGAGTTATCCTTTACTAGGGTTTCTGTACAGTACACGATAATAGGGTATATCAGTGGCTTACATAACTGAGATAAAAATGTTGTTAGTGTCCAGTATGCAGAGAAAGAGATACCCAAATTGTTCATTAAAACTCTGTTTTCGTTAACTCTGACAGAAATAAGATTACAGGAGAATCCTCCTGCGGTTCATATTTTCAGTTTCTTATGCTGTAAAATGAAGCTGATGTTTGTAGAGTTCAAAAAGAAGAGGAGGCAGATATGTTGCCCTTCAAATCAACTCCTATAAAACTAATGCTGTCCATGAGGTAGGAGGACAGCGAAAGCTGATAATGAGATCCTTGCTCCCTAAACTATTCCCTTCCCCACTGTGTGTTCACTGTTAGGGATTTCTGATATGGAATCCCTCTGCAGACTGGGGTTGCTACCAGCATGTAAGCACTCTAATCTTAAACGTTCTGTTTGGATGGTGAGTGGATTGTCTAGACTCTCTGAAACTGTTAATTAGGATGTTTGAGACTAGTCCTATTCAGTGCTAATTTCCATACTTCATCCCCATAGCCCTTTATTTCTCTCTGTCATCCAGCAGAGCAGACAACAGTCGTCTGCTTTTCACCTGGTAGATAAAGGTTCTCTCGTACTTTGTGTCACCTCCTTGACTTCATTGGGAGTTTTGCCCAAGGACTGCAGAATAAAGCTTAATTTGTGAATAAGTAGTTTTGTTGATAGAATATCAATTATTGTATCTGGTTAAAACCTTAAAAACACCTGTAACCTTAAAAAGTTCTTTTAAAATATTGCATGTTCCAAATCATTAACCCCATTTAAGTCAATGTAAATTTTGCCGTTAACTTAAATGGGACCAGGATTTAGTCCTTAGAGAAAACGCAATATTTAGACTTAAATGTATAAATAAATAAATGTTTATATTTAAAATAAAATATTTGAAATTCAGTTATATTACTTACCAGCCACGTCTTGAGTTCAGGGTTCTTTTTCAGCAAAGGATGACATTTGAATTCTTGGGGGAAAGTTATTGTTGGTGTAACTCTGTTAAAATAAGAGGAGTTAAACCAGGGAGAAATTAGCCCATTGTTCCTAATTCAAAGTCATTAAACCAACAGTAGGCATAACAAAAATCATACTGTCTAGTTGCACAGTAGAACCAAAAATGTATATGCACAAATGAGCAGTTAAATGTTTACCTGGCTTATATATGAATTTGCTATGGCTTTATGTGCAATTGTAGTAATTAGTTGCATGCAATTATGGAATATCTGTGCCTAAAAGGTTTTTGAACAGAATTGTCAGGAAAAATTGTTTAACTGAACAGTTGATTAAGAAGACAAGAAATTTGGTTAGTGTGTTGTAGGAAAATTGTCGGTAGTATCTAGATTACAGTCTTCAAATTTTCCATTAGCAGATTGTTGGCATAATCTCATAGTATTTAAAGTAGTGGGGTTTTCGGCCTTTCACATCTTCTGACACTAACACAAATAATGTGTTAGGAACATATATGAAAAAAATTCAAATAAAGTTTATTTCTACCAAAGATACTTCAAAGAATCTGAGGATCATTCTAATTTGAATTTCAGTTGAGTTTCGGAATGTTTGAACACACTATTCTTACAATAATAGATGAGGCATTTGGAGGAAATAGATTTCATCAACAGAGAGAGATTTTCAAGACTAAGGGAGACCAGACCTCCTGAAATGTAAATAAATATACCATCCTGCTGATACGAGTCATGTGACTGGGGAATGTTAACATCAATAAAGGCCAGCTTTGCATAAGGTAAATTATGCCACTGCTGTTCACTCCCTGCTTCTACTGGTGATTTCCCTCCCTTTCCATTCCCAGCCCATACCATCTTTCCCATGACACTTCTGAATTGTATTCTTCCCGCTCTCCAAGCCATTTCCCAGTGTAAGAGATTCACAAATTTGTCTATAGCTCCCACTGACATCCTCTCAGTCCTCTGTTTTCCTCCCCCTTTGCTTCTACTCAGGCCATCTCTCCACCAAAGAGACTATTCAATACTTCCCCTCTCTCAAGGAGAATAACTAGACTAGAGTTTGTGGTCAGTTATAACTTGAATGAACTGATCACTAAGTAACTTGAGTTAACTAACTAGACACCTAACAAGTGTTGTTCCAAGACACTATGAGGTATATTTGACTGTGATACAGTCTCCTATGGGAAATAGTGGGACCCCCGTTGGTTTATGTGGAACTTTAATCATGCATAGACATTGTGCTGGCATTCTATACAGGGGTTGATTTCACTCAAATGTTATATTAGCAGAGAGCAAAAGTTGAGCTTGTAATTCTCACAAGAAACTGGAGTCTTTAAGAATTAAGCCCGTCCTGTTCAACAACAACAACAACAACAACAAAATACCATGTGACCTATGTGTCCAGTCAAAACAAAGGAACACATCTCAATAATGAAATATTTCAAAGAACTGCTTGGGAACAATCTACAAAGGACTCTTTGTAGAAATTGTATATAAACATAATTAATACATCAGCAAAAATTGTAAACTGTTTGTGAATTGGGGGGAAAACAGCTACATTATTCACTGAATTATTTGCTCAGCTCCTATAAAAAAAAACAGGTAGGGAAACAGTTCTTAAACAAGCACCGTGTATAATAAAAATAGCTTTGCTGAGACAAAGGCTTTTGCACAGTAGAGCCAAAAATGTTTCACACATAAGTGTCGGATTAATTATTTAGACTAACATTGTCTGCAGTAGGAGATCAAGGTGCTGAGAACCTCAGAATTGGGCCCTACAATAGTGATCCTGCTGGAATTAAATTTTACAATTCAGATATATCTTATTGCTCATACTGGGGAAGACTGGCATTGTATTAATTGCCAAAGTACTTGATGGTATGTAACTTCATTTTATCTTTTATTCCCTTCCCCACAAAAATTAATGCTTCTAAAAAGTGGGAGCTTTCCCTTGCATGCTGTAAAGTGTAATTAAAACTGTGCAGACAGTGCAGAGAAGTTGCTCAGTACAGATTGCGTGGCAAGACACACTGTAGTGTTTACCTTCATAATGTGGTGGTGTAGCCATGTTGGTCCCTTATATTAGAGAGAAGGTGGGTTTGCTAATATTTTTGAGTGGACCATCTTTTATTGGTGAAAGAGACAAGGTTTCGAGTTTACACAGAGAAGACCTGAAGAAAAGCTCTGTATAAACTCAAAAGCTTGTCTCCTTCACCAGCAGAAGTTGGTCCAGTCAAAGATATTACCAAACCTACCTTGTCTCTTCATAAGGTAGACATTTTAATCTGTTCAGATATCCTTTTCATTAAGATGTTTTTCTAAATTATCTTTTAGTCATCATTGATATACTATGGAAAATATTTTAAATTATTTTGGAAAGCCATGGGCCCAATTCAGGAACTATGCCAAGTGGATGCTAATATGGATATAAACTTACATGTTAATATTGCTTTAACAATGCTTCTCGGTTTTGACTGGCAAGTGTCAGACAACCTCCCCACACAGATGAGAAGGCTGTCAGGAGCATACATTGGGTCCATAGCCTGCAGACATTTACACACATGCTTAACTTTAATCAAATGAATAGTCCCATTGGACTTCAAGATTGGAACCATAAGCTGTACAAGGGTCTCAACTGAGCAAATCATGTAAGTATGTGTTTTACTTTAAGCAAGTGCTCAAATCCATTGACATGAAAGCCAAGCACATGTTGAAGTTCTTGGTGAATGGGGATGGGTTTAAGCATGTGTTTTGCTGAACTGGGAGACTAGCAGAAAATTAAAAGATGTTATTTGAAAACTTTTGTGAAACTCCCATCTGTTGTTCACACAGCTTATAAACTGAACAAATAATGCAGGGGGAGATGTTGAATAATTTAATTCAAATAAAATCATGAAAGGAATTGCTCCTAACTTCCTAAAATACAACCTTTTGCAGCTGAATTTTTTTCATGTTTTATCTCAAACCTAAAGGTAAACTCTTCTAAAAGATTGATCAAAACCAGCTCAGTGTTTTGAAGTTACTTGAACATAGAATAAAATATGCTTTTAGTATATTTTTATGAGAATTGTAATGCTTGAATAATTTGAAAAATGAAGGATGCTCGATGCTTCAAATATGGTTTTGAAGACAGGTGGTCAGAGTAGATAATTGTCCCTTTTTGCCTTATAATCTATTAATTATACTGAGATGTTAATTAACATCAAGACAATTTTGAAGAAAATTAGTTTTAACAGATGGATTTATGAATGTTTAAAGTCAGCTTTCTGGTGTATTTGCATTGGAGATTTTTCTTCCTCATGAATATGAGAGTATAGTTATTCCTCCAAGCCCTTATGAGGTTAGTAACCATTATGCCCATTTTATAAATGGGGAACTGAGGCACAGAGCGATGTTACACAGGAAGTCTGTGGCAGTGCTAAGAACTGAACACAGGACTCATGAGTCCCAATTTAGTGCCCTAACCACAACATCATCTCTCCTCTCTTCTATACTGGAGTACTTCTCCAAGGATAGTGTGTGTTGTTGCTAGAGAAAAATCTAGCAATTTAATGCATTTCTGCCATTCTGTTAGAAAATAGTCACACATTTTAATATGAATATGTAATGTGTGTGTATTTGTACATGTTTGTGCATGTGTATCATGTT